GAGTATCCCCACTCCATCCAGACTTCCTTCGAGGGGAGATCGTTTCTTATCGCCCTGGCACCCCCTAAGCTGGGCTGATGCACCGGCCGGTCATTCTGAAAACAACTGAATAGCAGCATTGAACGACGCGAAAAGGGTGATACCTACTGCCTTGGGGTTGTCGCAAGCTTGTAGCCATGGCTCCGAGCCAGCTGTGCGGATCAAGGGCTAAGAATCCCTTCAAGGCAACGCTGCGGGACAAGGTCAGAAACATCCCAACACCTGTCACGTGTATAGACCCCCCAAACGGGACAACCATGCAACACATTGAAAACATGTGCACCGTTCACAAACACACACACACACAGAGAAACACACCCATGCTACGCCTGAAGGTTCCCATGTGAACCACGCGGTTTGACCCGAAAAACCCTCCACCCTCCGTTCACACCAACCCCCTCTCGATCCTCTTGAAGTGGATGGACCATGGATGAAAATGGGATGGATTGTGCGCTGTTGGTGTTCTTGGATGGCCAAGACATGCCAAGACCTCCACGGAGGGAACTCTGAAGTTGATGGTCAAACCCCATACTTGGGTACACGGCCTACGATTGAGGGACCAACCAAGAACACCAAGAATCCCCCCAGACCATCAATCTCCCACCAAACAGGGGTGGTTGTCCATCGCTTCGGTGCGAATTCAATCGTATTCAATTGTAATAGGCTAGTGGCCAGACCAACGGCTTAGCTTCTGCGCCAAACAAGTATTCAATTCTATAAGTTTCTCCATTTTGATTGATACTGCTCCGCTCAAGGGGTACCTAGCTGGTTGAATCTGATCTCAGAACCCGAGCCTAGAGTAAGCGAGGGTCAAACATCTTGAGACCTGAAAAGGAACTTATGGAACTTCGTACTTTAGCACATCTCGAGACCACTCCAGGATGAAAGGATGAGCTCTTAACCACTTCGTTCGGTACATTCGAAGACTTTCACTCCGAGTCGGCGACCACAGCGGCGCACAGCGACCGGCTGGGTCGGAACGCATCGCGGACAGGGCATCGACCGCACCAGCTGGAGGATGGTGACAGACTGCATCGTGACAGCTGGTAAGGAAAACCAGTGTTCGTTCCAGGGGGCATTTCAGGGTATTGGATCAGCGGTGCTGTGAGCTGTATCAATCTGTATCAACTTGCCACTACTTACAGGTAACTAGCTCCCCTCCAGCTGGGGCCTCATTAGCAGCAAAGAAATGGAATACAAGGAAAAAACCAGGAGAGAAGCACGGCCGGTTTCAACCCAATTAAGAACAAACTACATCCAGAATCCAACTACGAGCACTTCCAGCTCACCAAAGCAAAGTGCTCCTGGTTTCATCCTGGTGTTTCCACTTCTAGGATAGCACTCGTTTGATGGACACGAAGAGCACGGATCCAGGATCCTCTCAGGGCAAGGGCCTTCCCTGCTTCACAAAACAGCAAACCGTCCGGGCAAGTGTGATGCTTCATCCGGACAACTGAAATCAGGTCCCTGCAACACATTGTTATTCTTTTCTACCTTGTACTTTGCAATGGTCACTTCTTAGGGAAGCGAGTGGAGAACATCGCAGCGTGGCAATTATATATATAATTTAATATGGAATAGTTGTGCTCCTGAATGGCTATTGTCATCTATTGTCGCTGCACAATGCATCTTCACCGCAAAGTGTGAACCCAAAGGGCGCAATGATTGTTGGAGTGTGCCTTTTTACCTGGGAGTGACTTGGTTCACTCCACTCACACCAATTATGGTCATTGATTGTTCCAACATTCACTGAGACTGATGGGGAACCAGGTAGAATGAGGTCACAAGCCCACACATGCCACCAGGTCCAGTGAAAGAATGCAGCTTCATTAGATCCTTGAAGGATCAATGGCACTTGCATAGGCACATGCATACAAGTGCTTCCATGCCCCGATTGGTTCCTTTTAAGCACAGCTAAGAAGGGGACAGCTCAGGAGAGTCTGCCACGAATTCGGCGCTGGGCGCCTCACTATCTAATTCGGTTTCTGTGTCGCTATCCAAGGCGGTGGGAGGCGGCTGTGAAGATGGAGCCTCAATGGGCAGTTGATGACCGTCCAAGTCAACAGCACTCGTGCACTCAAGAATTCCCCCCCCCCAAAAAAAAGTATATTACATTTACAGCACAATAAAAAAAATATATTATATATATATATATATACACAGTAAATCAATACAGGCTCAAGATCTTGGCTCAAGAGCGGTTTCCCGGCCCACGCTGGGTACTTCACGTCTTCCAGAACATCGCTCTGGAGTCCAAGAAGGGAGGCCACACCTTTCTGCTGGACTACATGGCCAGAGGATCGTGGGCCCGCTCTTACCAGTGCTGCCGAGGTGCGGATTGCAGCAATTGGATTTGGGAAGATAAGGTGGCTGAAGGGTATGTCTGCCGCAAATGCGACCTGGCTTGGAGGCAACCAGCTCAAGGTTTTCGGGACCGCTCGAAATCTCAACCTCGAGGTCGTCATGCTCCTCGCCAGAAACCCATCACACCCCCGCCTGGCCTAGGAGGGGGCAGAGTTTCCAAAATCTCACAGGTACACAAGGCCACCACTGACCTTCTCATGGGCTCGTGGGGCAGCTTGGACCCCAAATTGCAGCAACAGCTCGAACAGCTTGGCATCAAGCCCGCTCCGCCCACCGTGGAGGCTGATGATCTGACGAGTGTCCTCAAAGAGAACATGGCCCAGCTGCCCACTGCAGTGAAGGACTTGGTGGAGAAGATTACCAAACCTCCACCAGAAACGGAGAAAGACATGGCCATGAAGCTCAAGGCACAGGTGTCACATCTTCGAGACCTGTCCCACAAGAAGCAGGTCCTGCAACAGAAGCTGGACAATGCCAAGAAAACCTATGGGGACATGCTTGAGGAGATGAAGACCATACAAACCAAGCTGGAGGCTGAACAAGGGGCCCTTCACACCACCTCCGCGGCCTACATGGCTTTGGTCAACACTAGCAAGCCGGCCACTGAGCTCCATGAAGGGGAATCCATGGAGGACACTGTGCCCAATGCAGTGGCAGGTTTCATTACGACCCTTGGGGTCAGTTTGACAGAGGACCAGAAGGCCCAGCTCACAACGATGCTGAAGCGCCCTCCGGCTCCCATTACTGAGGACGAGAACAAGCGACGCAAAATGTTGGAGGAGGTTCAACAGTGTGGGTAACCTGATGCCTAGGGATTCCTCCCTGTTGCACTTTGCTTCTTGTGTTTTTGGGGCTGCTGGTGCGGGCCATCAGCCACTCAGCGATTCTCAATCGAGTTGCGGGGTTTTTGACAACTTGGTTGATTCTTTTGCAGTTGGAGGCTCGAGACGAGCCAAGGGTCGCCGCGGGGGCTATGGTCCTTGGCGAAAGCCTCCTCCTTTCAAGTTGAGGGGGGGACACTCAGATCCTCCCTTGGGGCCAGAGAGCAGTTGGGCTAGCCGCGGGGCACCGAGTTCCTCTACCTCAGTGCAGACCTCTCGGGGTTCTGCAGTTGACGGGACCCCACAGGCCAAGCTTGCTGCTCTTCTGGTGGACCTCATGGACGATGACATCAATCGTCCAGCTTTTTCAGTTTTGACGGCCGGCCAACAGGCCCTCTATGACTTATGCAAGCGAGACCTTGATTCTTCGCGGGCAGACTTTGAGCAGAGTTGGTCCTTGGTCAAGGGTCAACAATTTCTGGTTGATTTGAGAAGGATGGAAAACACACTTCACAAGCTCCTAGCGGTTCAAGGTGATGTTCCTCATCTTGCCACTAACGTCTATGTTGTGGCTCAGGCTCTGACCAGCATCCTCTCCAACCCGCACAACATGTGTTTTGCCAATGCGGTCCTGCGATGCTGGAGTTGGGCAGGGGCTCATGCTGAAGACCAGTCCATAGCTTGGGGCCGGACGCATGGTGCGGTTCGGCAATTTCTGGGGGCCGACCAACCATCCTTGCTGAGCAATTTGGATCAAATGCACCATATTCTCCAACACTTCCAAGAAGGTACTCAAGCGGATGTTGGGGATTTTGCAGGCCTCTTGTGGAACTTTGCGGACAGCACCTTCTTCGGTGGCAAGTTCTTTCATGTTCACCCTGATGGACGGCTTGAGGACAGAGAACAAGTTCCCCTCAACATGCTGTTCCCACCGGGAGACGCGGCCATCTCTTTGGATGAGATTGTCAACCAGTGGGCTGACGAAGAAGGCGGGCAATACCTTTATGGGGCTCCCGATGGCCTCATCCTGCACCTTCAACGGTCGGCTTTGGTACAAGGGCGCTGGACCAAGCATGACCGGCCTTTGGATTTCTCCACCAGCGTCAACATTCCCTTCTCGGAGGATGGCATTCATGTTCATATGGCCACCTACAGGATTGTCAGCCTGGTTTTGCATCAAGGAGAAGGGCATGAGAACGGGCACTATGTGTGCATCCATGCCATGGACAACACCTACTGGTTTGCTGATGATGATCAGTATCCTGTTCCCATGTCCAACATTTCGGATCAGCAACGGAAGGAGGTTGTCCAACTCTGGCTGATTCATGACAACCAGGGTGAGCTTGTGCCGGATGCCGTTGAAGCTATGGAACCCAGTCAGCCCAAGCGGGCCAAGCATCACTACGAGACCTTGCACCTCATCTTTGGGAACGTGACCTTCTTTGGCGCTCGCGTTCAGGATTGGATCTGGACCAAAGAAGACCACCTTCTCTTTTTGCAAGAGACTCATTTGGGCCCCAAGAAGCTCAACGAGGCCCAGCAATACTTCACTGCCAGAGGCTGGAAAACGCATGGTCTCCCGGCTGCAGATACTGGACGAGGAGGGACCACCGGAGGCATGCTCACCTTGCATGGCAATCGGCATTTGACCCATCTCGATCACCACTACCTCCTAGAAGGCAATGGCTGGATGTCTGTTGGTTTGCAGCGGCAGGACACGATGATCTTCATCATTCAGTTGTACTTGCGCACTGGAGAAACCTTGCAGTCCCCTCACAATGCCGACCTTTTGGCACACCTTCTCACCTACCTGGGTCATCTACGAGCTCCCTTCATTGTGGGTGGGGATTGGCAGAATGAGCCTGGTGCCTTGGCGGCCACGGTCATTCAGAGTAAGTTCAAAGCGGAGATCTTAGACACACAAGGACCCACTCAACTGGACTTCCTGCTGGTCTCCTCCACTCTGGCACCATGTCTTCAGGTTCAAGCCAACTGGGATGTGCCGTGGAAGCCTCATTGTGCCCTGGATGTGACCTTCAACTGTGATTATGCGGCTGTCTCTGTCCAACAACTTCAGCGCTTCCCTCCGATCGGAAGGACCCATCCTTTGCCGGCCACCTGGACCAGTTTTTGGGAAGACGACGGTCCCTTCCACATCATGGGCCAACCCATCACTGGCATAGGCTCTGACTTTGCTCGCTGGGCCACACAGACAGAGAAATACCTGACTCAGCTGCTCCACACACCCACACAAGGAAGGGGATCCCGGATCTCCATGTTCCAGGCACCTCTGGTCGATCAGACCAAGTCCCAAGTTTGGAAGAAAGGTCATGTTGCCTTCTGGGAGAAGATGAAGGTGCGAGTCAATGTGGTTCATCAATCTCAGCACCCTCGAGTTGCTCAGGACCTACTCAATATGTTGGAGTCAGTTTCTCAGCATGCCTCGGATGGGATGAGCCAAGACCTGTTCACTGCGCTCATGAAGCATTGGATCCAGCATCCCACCAATGAGCCTTTGGAGATTCGGCGCATCATTGCAGAAGAGGAGCAGCTTGCCCACAAGGCCATCTTCCACACCTCCAGCGAGGAATACAAGCTCTGGCTAGAGAAGGCTCATCAGAAGAGACTCAGGGGCCTTTTCCGGAGTCTCAGGCAGAAAGATGTTCCATGGCAAAGGCCTTTTAAACATTTGCCGCTGGCAGAACGGCAACAAGCACGACAAGCTCAATGGGAGGACATTTGGCACCCACGCCCTGACCCCCGTCCCCTTCGGCAATGGGATCTTCTGCAGGAAGCAGCCAAAGATCAAGCGGAGCAACTGCCTCCCATTCAGTCCCATCAACTCCAACAGCTTCTTCGTCATTTGCCCAACAAAGCTGCTGGACCTGATGGCATTTCCTATGACTTCCTTCGGCATCTGCCTTATCCTGCGGTGGAGAAACTGGCTGGTTTGCTCACTTCCATGGAGCGAGAAGGAGAGCTGGCTTTTTGCAACTGAGGGTGACCAACATCGTTCTCATACCCAAAAATGAGAAGGTCGAGAGACCAATTGCCCTCACCAGCTGTTTGTATCGGGTATGGTGCCGTGCGAGAAAGGCGGACCTGCAGAGGTGGCAGCTCTCCTTGGACGATCAGCTGCCTTGGGATCAAGCTCGGCCGGGGCGGGACTGTCTGAGCATTGCCATCGGGCGGATGTTGTACGCGGAGATTGCCCGTCATCAAGGCATACACACGGTCACTTGCTTAGCAGACCTCACTTGCTTCTATGACCATGTTGACCTGGATGCCATCATCGAACCTGCCCGCGACTTGGCTTATCCGCCTTTGCACCTCAAGTTTGCACTGGACGAGGGCCGAGGACCATTCAAGCTGAAGGCATCAATGGAGAGGCCAAACATTATGACAAAGGAATCCTTCAGGGATGCCCTCAGGCGCCGGCCATCTCGAAGCTCATCCTTTTCAAGCCCCTCAAGGTCATGGTCACCAACCATCCGGCTGCAAACCTCCAGACTTGGGTGGATGATGTCAGTTTTGACATCCACAGCCGGGACCCTGACTTTGCAGCTCGAGAAGCTTTGAGTGCTTTCCGCACCATGAAGTACCAAATGGAGGAAGCTGGCTTGAAGTTGAACACGGACAAGACAGGCTTCCTTACCAGCTCCAAAGAAGCTGCTAGGGCCCTGAAGGCCTTTCTGACGGACAGTGATCCAGAGCACTATGATGTCCTGCGCGACTTGGGAGTTGACTCCACTGCAGGTCGCAGGCGCCGGGTCCCTCAGATCAAAAAGCGCTTCTTGAAGGGCAAAGGACGTGTTGGGATCCTTCATCGCCTTCGGCTGTCCACGGGCATCCGCTACAGGCTGCACAAAGGGGCCATTCACCCGGTGATGTCTTGGGGAGCTCAAGCCAATGGACTGGCCCCTCAAAGACGACAGCAACTCCGGGTCTTAGCAGCACGGGGCCTCAAACTCCAGCGGGCAGGATCAGTCGATGTGGTATATGACATGAATGATGGACAGCCAGATCCGGGGGATTCAATCATCCTCCAACACCTGCACACAGTCTGGAAGGTCTTCCACCGCTTTGATGAGAGCAAGCAGCATCTCTTCTGGACCAGTTGGAACACCGCACTGGGAGCTCTCCAACAAGCCCGGTACAAATGGCAGGTGGTTTCTGGCCCTCTTCAGGCCCTTCAGGCATACTTGCTTGACATGGAGTTTGACATCTCCAATGGCCACAAATGGAAGCGCACAGGCTACGGAGGGATACCGGATTGTTTGCTCTCCCTTTTGGATCCATGGCCGGTCATCCACTCTCAGCTCCAGAAGGAATTCCGCTGGCAACGGCTTTTGCGCTTGACCAGGTATGAAGGCTGCCACGACATGGAAAGGCAGTTGGACTGGATGATCAGTCTGCACATCCAGCGGACCACAAGTGACTCCTTGGCTACAGGACTTCGTGCTTTCCATCAAGGCACCTTACATGGAGTTTCTGGCCACTGCCCCTTATGTGGTGTTGACTTGACCTTCACTCATATGCTCTGGGAGTGTTCCTTCTGGCAAGGCCGGGTCAAAGAGCTGTCGTCTGAATGGGTCAATCGGTTGCAAGCGGGCACTGATCCAGAGCTTTGGCAGAGAGGCTTTGTTCAGAAGATCTTTTATGAGCCTGAAGAAGGATTGGCCACCATCGAAGGCACAGGCTTGTGGGGAGATCTTGGCCTTCTCCGGGCAGACAAAGGTCACATATGCTCGATTGCAGTGGCACCAACTTGTGGGGACAAGAGGCATCGACGTTTTGCCTTTGCTGTCTGCGTCCATCTTACGAAGACCAAGCAGCAGGTCGGGTCCATTACTGGTATCTGTCCTGCTCCGGCGACTCGAAGGAGGGCTTTCTTTTACGCTTTGAAGCAGTTGGCACTCCATGTCACTGAGAAGACTCCTGTGGCCCTGTATGATGTGAAGGTGTGGCAGGCTTGGAAACCTCATGTGGCCTTTGAGACCTTTCCGGATCTTTTTCCGGGGCTGGAGTTCGAGGACTTTGACCATGTTTGGCCTCTCCTTTTCTCCAAGCAGGAGCTTTCTCAGAATGAACTCCGAAGGATCACCCAGAAAGACACGCAGCAGTTGGCCCTTCGCACCGGCAAATCGTTCGAACCCACTGAGATTCTTGACATGCAGGCTCATGTGGACAATGATGCTCATGACATCTTGCTGCAAGCCGGGGAGCGGATGAGCATTTTGCTTCAGAACAAGAACCACTATTTGCACTGCACCGCAAGGAAGCCGTCATGCAGGATAAAGTACCACTCATCCAGCAGAAGAAGGAAATCCTTGCTGATCTGCTTGCCAAAGACTCACCCAACGGGCATGCATGGGAGCCCTTTCGAAGCGGCATTCGATGTGGGCATTGCAAACTTCGCTACCACAGCAAGAGTCTCTTGGTTGAGCTTAAAGAAGCTGGAGAGAAGCCCTGCGAAAAAGCACCCAAGCTCTCTCAGCCCAAGCAGACCAGGATGGAGATGATTCATGCTCTGGTGGCCTCCCAAACTGGTCAACAGAGCGGCGTGCACCATCTGAAGCTGGATCGTGCATACCTCCGGTGCATGGCTTGCAAAAGCTACATCTTGGCAAGGACGAACGAAGAGGCCTTCACCAAGTTCGTCAGTGAGCCATGCTACACGGGACCGCTGGAGAGCAGCTTGTGGGAAGGACACGTCTCGCACACTATGCAGAGACAGGGTCGCAACGTGGAATGTAGTCGATGTCACGCGAGAGCCAAACTCATCGACGAGAAGATTCAGTTGACGACCCGCTTACGCCAAAGGTGTGTTTTCCAGCGGAGTCGAGATCTGCGAGAAATGTTCGCATGAAACGCGAAACGCATTGCACCGAAAAGACGAGCAAAAAAAAAGAAGTAAATCAATACAATATACACATTGTATATATATATATATATTTCATTACCTCTTCTACGGGCATTGAAATGACACATCATCAAATGACATTAAAGGATCTCAAAGGCTTGTTCTGAAAAAAGACGCATGAACTGGCATGAACAAACTTGCAGCTTGTGCTTGACTCAATTTTTCCCTTTAGATGCTGGAGGGGGTGTACTAATAACGGCCAATCGCATAGCCTTTACCAATGGGAATGTCTAAGGGCCCATCTGCAAAGTGCGAGCCTCTGCCAAGGACCCCGTGCCGTCAATTTGGTCCCGTTCCGTCGAATGGGTCACATCGATTTGGTGCGAATCATCTATAGGAGTCAGGTCATGTCCATGTAGCCTCGAAAGAGTCCAACCCCGTTGAGCATGGCAGTATGACACAACATTGCGTGTCACGAAAACGAAGCACTTCCCTGGCCTCCTGCCCTTGCATTTTCCTGCGATATGTTTGTTCTTGAAGGGATAGTGCACTCCCAAAAACGATCCCATGGAACCTGAGAAGGAAAACCAGTGGAATTCGACCGTTTTCCTCCAACCAGCGGTTTTCAGGATCTTAGGTTCAAACGCTGCCGGCACCGTCCGTCTTCAACGCGGTGTTCGCCTCGGCGGAGCTGGACAGCTCGATCACCTTCTCGGCTTCGCGCGACCTGTGGGAAGAGATGACGGATACGGACGGACCCCAGTGGGTATTCAAGTACCCTGTAAGCACTATGACGAACGTAGGCCACATTTCTAGAGGAACAACTCAGCTTTGCTGAAAAAACATCAGAGTCGTTGCTCCAACTTTGCTAAGCTTAGCACAACATGTGTCTTGCCGCCCAGCGGCATCTGCTCTTGCGGCTTTGGTTGCAAGAGGCTCAAGCCAAATCCTGGAGCGAGTGAGCATGGACACACTCTGAGCCATGGCCTTTGGGTGTGTGAGGTCAGCTTCAACACATACTATAAGGTCACATAACTCCTTCCAGCAGGTCTTTGTCGGGTCAGTTGTGCCAGATCTGCAGTCCCTCTTTCCGTGTCTGGGGGGGGTTCTTAGAACGTGCCATAGCGTGCCAAGCTACATCGGAATCCGTGGAACTTCCGAGGTGTCCATCGCCATCCCGATCCCCTTGGATTGGGCCCCTTCGGACGCGGGCCTAATGCCGCGCGTCCTCGGGAGATCTCGGCCATCAACGAGAAGCGCCGCTGGGCCGCCAGGGACTCGGTGAGCCACGTGGGGTGCACGATATACTGCACGCAGGCCAAGCTGCTGGTGGCCTCGGTGTGGGGGTGGCCGGGTCGTTTGCCAAAGAACATTGGACCCGTGGTTTTCATGGAGGGGAATCTTCCAAAGAACATTACTTCAAGTTCATAAGTTGAAAGACGGGGGGATGTCCACTTACTTCACTGGTGCTTTCAAGTGAGTGTTCGAAAGACAGTGATCAATAGTTGTAACTTCTAGTTATATCGATCAAGAACCACCACCTGTTTAGTTTGCCTACGTCGCGTCAGCTGCGTCTGGGTCGAACTCTGATGTGAGCTACGGTTCCATGGTCTTGGGGTGTTTGCTTGGCAAACCCTCCTTCCTTCGACCAAGGGTGCGTCAATGTATGTCACCTTTAAACCTTTAAACGAAGGAACTTGTGGAACCAATCGTTCTATGTTCTTTTTTTCGGTCTCTTTTGCAATGTGAACAGTAGAGAACCCCCACAATTCTTCTACTGCCAGACATGTGTGCTCCAACTATCACAGTGGCCGCAATGGCTCGAACCCCCAAGCTCTAGAGAAAACACTGATCCTCGCGGCTGAGCTCTGAACCTTCCAACTCGCTTTCCGGAAAAAAACAGAGAACCCCCTCCTCCCGGCCGTTGATCCTCCGGCCGCGAGGTTGACCTGCCCAATCCGAGTGGCATCCTTCATGGCATGACGCTCTTTGGCTCCACTGAGCTGCGAGCACACCACGTGCGTCACCTGACGCTTGCTGAGGCGCGGGATCACCGTGGCGCCATGCAGCCGTGCCAGCTTGCTCAAGGCGTAGGCGGACAAACCACCTCGACAGGCGAAGGGAGGTGAAAAGGGGGAAAGCGGTGTCATGGCTGTAGTTAGGTGAGTCATGCAGAGCGCTTTAGTGAGGGTTTAGTACTGGGTTTAGTATGGTTCAGTGATTTAGTCCACTTCTTCGGAGAAGACGATGCACTCGTTTGAAACAATAGCAACCAATTTCTTTCTGCAAGGCGAATTCTATGGAATCATCTTGAGGAATCTCTTGCTGAATAAGACATCTCGTTGACAAGCTTGAGCATGCTTGAGCCAGCACAACATTCCAACTTTCCAAACTGTTTGTTGAACCTTTGGGCAGCTTGGTGCGGGCTGGCGGGGCTGGGCGTTCGGTGTGACGTGCCTCCCACATCCACGCGGCCATCAAAGTAGATGCAGCAATGCTGGAAAAGATCGGACTTCACCTGCTGCCCCTGGCGGCCGAGGTCAATGGCAGGGTCAATCTTCCCAAAAAACGATGGGAAAATGGAGAATCTCAATGCCGCTAGCCGCTAGCCAACACAAAGAGACCCTTCCCAATCGCTTTCAGGCCAAACACGATGGATGTCTCAAGCGCATTGAGTCGCACCATGTCTACAAACTCGGTATGGGTCTGGTCATTCCAAATCCACGTCCTTTTCCAGCTTTTCACCTCTCATTCATGTGAGCCGTGTTTTGTGTGTGTTCTTTATCATAAAGAAAAAGAACAGGCAAGGTGCCCATACACATCATGTATCACAGAACTGCCTTCGCACACCTTTGGTGAGTTACAGTCCCACCTAATCTTTATCAGTGACTTTGAAAAAAACACCTCCGGCACCTCGGGCGAGAGCCGTGAGGAGACGGCGCCAAAGAGGCCGGCGTCCACGATTTGCGAGTCCAGCTTCTTTTGACGCTCATCCCAATATCCTGTGAGCGCATCACAAACATCTTAGCAAGCAAGCTTGAAGGACACACACACACACGTCATGCATTCCACAAAAGAAAAGAATCCGGGTGAGAGACTCTCAGGAAACCTCTCCCTAGCGGCCAGTCACCAAGCCCTCACTACCAAACCAGGTGCAGCCAAGTGACCTGACCAAGTGACTTTCTCACCGTGGTCCGAGATGGTGACACCGTGCGTCGCACAGGCATCAGCGTGCGCGGCGTCCGCCGCGCCGGCACGCGCCGTCCACCGGGCACGCTTGGCCGGTGGCGGGTGACCTCAGGAGTTGAGATGATGATGAACTCCACTGGTGCCGGTGGCGCACAAAACCGTGTTGATAAGCAGGCAGGATGAACGGCAGATACACTCCTGGAATCATCGAAGTAGACAATGGCAAGACAATGGCAAGACCGGTGGTGCCGGTGGTGCTGTCCACTTCGATATTCCATGATGAATCCATGGAGGGTAGCTCAGATCTGGGAAACCCCGTCAGAAAGGCTGGCTAGTCTCACGCCTGAAGTGCTCCTAACATGTTCAAGGAGCCTTGTGCAAAGGGTGCGGTGGGAACTGGGGATCGGGCCAAAAAAACTGCTGTACACCTAACGGGCCAGGCCCAACAAGTGGTTGAGAACATGCGCAAGTGGGAGACTTTTTTGGGGAGGATACGGTCACATACGATTTTCACTTACCTCTTCAAATGGTCCTTTTCTGGTGATGGTTGATCCCTGAAAGAGAACACTCCATGATCCTGAATCCTTTTCGGTGCTTTTTGCCACGTCTTTTTCAGATCTCCCCTGAGGTCAGTCTCCACCCGACTCCCAACCGGCCGGTGTGGGACAACACTGTGGATCTGCCGACCTCCGAAGTGGATGTTCCACGTCTTCTTTGCGGTCACGGGGCAATTGAAAGGTTGTCAAAAAGAAAAGCACACAAAATAAGTCATGTCTTCATTGATTCATGGACCTTTCATGACCTGTCCATCTTGAGACACATGGATCCTTTCTCCATCTTTCTGCCCAGCGGCCTGTAGCGTGTGGCGTGCTTGATTTTGGACGGCACCAGGATTCCAAGGATCTGAGGAAACGTGGCCAGGCTTTCTGGAAGTGTCCCTTGCCAAACACTTCACTCTAAGATCAAATCCCAAGTGGTGCTTTATCCTTGATGACATTTTTGTTCATTCTTGCCAAGAGTCCTGCAGTACTGGGTGTAGAAATGACATGTGAAGAAAATGACATGCGGGGTGTAGCGATGCACGGTGATGTAGGAAGAACATGTGCAAGATCGAAAAGCATCAAATGTGTACCTCGATCGACTCTGGCATATTCCAGTTCTGCTGATGATCTTGCCGTTGATGATGACAATAGTTGTACACGTCTTCAGCCAAAAGAATTTCAAATCTCAAACCTTTTCCCAACGATAGGTGGAAAGTGGGAGGCTTTTACTTCCCCGGAACTGCGAGGCATTGCAATCTCCAGCGGCGAGACACATCCTGTCGCCCCAACCGTGGCTCCTCTAGGCATTGCTCCATTTCCACTTCAAGGAGCTGTTCCGTTCGTTCTTGATTTTTTCTACCCTAAGAATCCGTACGGGCTGTCCGCAGGGGTCGGAGCCTCCACGGCGGGGGTCCCCTATCTGTTTGAGGGCCCGGATTCTTAGGGTATTCTACTTGAGTCCACCCCGTCACTTAACTTGCTAAAGCAAGAGCAACTCCAGCTAGCTAAGGCTAGCTTTCGTGATTTCCATTTGGACCAGCCAAGCAGCCCTAGGCCGCGCTCCGCCATGAACGGTCACCGGTGTCGGGGTGGTCTTCGGCATGAAACAGCTGGGTGTGACAGGGGTGTGACTGGGTGGATTATTGGTGGCTGGTTTTTTGAAGATGACTGTAATGATGTCAAGGTGACATCAAGTCGAATCGACCTCGTTCCGCTTCGAAGAAGCCTTCGTGGTGGATGGTCTGCTGCGATGTTCTGCTTTCATTCAGGTCCCATGCAAGTCCAGTCGAGATTTCCATGACGTAGATGGCCAAAATTCATTGGCTTATGATAGATGACCTTCTGACCTTCGGTGGGTCCACCCTTGTTTTCAAGAATTTGCTGAAGCTCTAGAAAGCCAAAGAGCAAATGCATTCCGAGACTCGTATCTGCTGCAGGTTGCAACGATGCACGAACGATCACACCCTGTATCAACCTATACTATCTAAACTAGCTAAACAATGCTAAACAAAGATCTATATAGTAAACAAACGATTCGACTGAGGACGACCCCGAAATGGAGTCTGCAGAGTAGGTGATGAGAAAGTGACACAAGCTTCAAGTGATGTGGCTCACATGGATCCCTGACAGAGATGTGTCTTAAAACACCATGGTCATTTGACGCCCCCCAGCCATAGTCATAGTCGTATAATACTTAGGGTCATGTAGTTTGAGAATGTTTGAGACTGCTTGATGTGATCCTTAAACTAAAATAAATTATACAGTAAAACACATGCATGAATGGTCCGGTCTTAGTGGTGGGTCATCTTGATCGTCCCCTCAGTGCCTGGTGGCCCGCTCATCCACTCCTTTTGGACTACGCGATCACTCCAGCACCCTGCGTCGCTTCACAGCCATGCCCAAGAAGCTGCACAAATGAACGTCCTCCCCGAAGCGTTGCCGCACCTGGCGACGCTTCGGTCGAGCGTGGGAGCTTCCCGAGCGGCTGCCGGTGAAGGGTTTTGTTCTTCTCGCAGGGTGCGAGCTCCCTAAGGAAGGTGATGATACACCCACCCACACCCACACTCCTCTTAAACACGGATGATTTTGGTTTTCGCGAGCCGACCTTGATCCAGGTGGATGGCATCGCGGTTGAAACATGGAGACCTCTCTCATCACAAATGATTGTTCATCATTTTGTCATAGGGAGAGCACCAAAGTTGGCACCAGTGGGATTCATCTGATGACCTCCCCCAAAATTCCGGTGACCTAGTTACCTAGTTCTCTTCAAACCCACTCCCTGCAGGGGTGAAAGAACTGGAAAACAGAAGCCGCCACCTTCACAGACCCTGCAACAGCGAAGCCAGGCCAAGCGGGACAGTTACGCCTGCCTGTGTCTTGAAAGCGGGCTCCTGCCACCTGAAGGGGACAGTTGAAGAAATGCCATGCATGCGGATGTAAGGCATCCAGAATTCATATTATGAACTTATGAACCTATGACATCACAAAAGGGGGCGACTATGGGGCCGTGTTATTTCAACAATTCTTAAACCTTCTTGAGTGAAATGTGCCTCTAGATCTCTCTCTCTCTCTCCCTATATATATATATATTATACATTAATATGCACATCTCTACCATTTCTATCCTGAAAGGCTGCCAGCCCAGGACGGAGGGACACTACATTCAGACCGAGCCTCTGGCCTAGCAGCTAACGTGAAAGACCCTTTCCCCATGGTTCCAACCATCCTTCACGCATCTTCATGCCATGCTGTGATTGAGGACTATTCGATCTTCTTCAATGGCACCTTTGGTCTTCCAAGAACTTCGAAGAATTTCTACCCTTTGCCATCCCTTTCCCATCTCCAAGTGGCCTTTTCAGGCTCCCTTTCAGGATACCTTAACATCCATCCACATTGTCTACCATCCACAAAACGCAAAGTCGCCTCATTCCGTCCAAGGCCTTGGCCTCTCTGTCTCTCTCTCTCTCTGTTTCTCTTTCTCTTACTCAGTCTCGTTTCCACACATTTCCCCACTCCGCCTCATATCACCTCACGTCATCTGCCATCACCTCACGTCATCTTCCACACACCTTCTATATCCTTCCATCCTGGGTGCCTAGGTCCCCCCCAAGCTCGGCTCCCTCGGCGGCGGCGCCGAGCGGCAAAGAGGCATCGACCAAGTCCACCACGCCCAGGTCGCTCTGAAGGGCGCGCAGCACCACCTGGTGTGGGGCACAAGGTGTGAAGCGAATAGGGGACGTGTGAAAAAAGAACACTGGTTTCTACTTCTTGTATGTGTGTCTGTGCATGTCAGAATGTCAGAGTGTGTGTAAAATGATGGATACATGTTTCTTGTGAGAGTTGCACACAAATTCACAATTTTGACAGCACCTTCAATGAGAATCTTCGAGAATGGCTATCTATGGAGCAATCTACAGTAGATGTCTAGTATATATATCTTAGGCGGTGCAAGGTCTAATTCAAAGCACAATCACACACAATCACCACAATCACCTCGTATTGCTTCCAAAAACTGTTTCCTTTCATCAACAGCCCTTTCGCCTTTTGTCCGTTGGTCCATGCCGCTAAAAGACAAAGGACAAATGATTGTCGAGGTACACTCCCTTGAACATTCATGGACGTGGAAAACCACCCGTTTGTAGAGAATTGCAGGGAATGTATAATGCTTTTGCATTTGGGCAACTGTCTTGCACCCAGCCCAGTGGTGTCTGTTTCTGGAGGGCTACCAGGGCCTATAAATTCGCAATCACGACTTCCTGGAATATCTGGAAAACACAAACAATCATACTTTCCGGGGACTGAGAAAGCTCATTCCAAATCTACCAGGAAAAGGAGACGGGCTAGAACTTGTCACTGTCAAACTTGTCACTGATTTTCTCGAACGGGTAAATCATTTCAGAACCTTAGTCAGAACCTTACCTATCTTATGTATCTCTACTCCGAACTAACCGCATGTTTGAATGGGGGCGTGTACTCCCTAAATGCATCTGTACAGTTTTGCCGGGACTTGCAGGCTGCAAGGAAGCTGCCCCCATGACTTGACAGGTAGCCACCGGGGGAGAAAGCACGTAAAAGGATGTCTCAAACTGCTACAATTCCGACGAACACATCACATGGAAGTGGAGTTCACCCCCTGTTCGTCAAGGAAGACGTCGTCTTCCAAGGGGGGCATGCCATGCACTTCCATGTGATGTATTCTTCAGAGTGTAGAATGTTTCATCGACGGGCCGGTGTGTAGTTGGATCTTCTACCATCTTCTACTCAGCTCGACTCGACCCAAAGGATATCCCGCATGACATACATGCAGTCTATACCCCGCAGCAAAAACGCAGAACGCTCGTCTTCAGTACGGCCATTTCTGACTTCACGCACACATTTGGCGCTGTAAATGCGTGGCACCTGAATGATTCGGGGCCTTCAGGTTGCAACTCAGGGCCAGGTTCGTTGAACACCCGCAGTCCATGTGTGTATCAGAATGTCGCACTGGATCCGGATCTCAAAAGCATACATCGTCTCCGATTTTTGGCAGGTAGACTCTATATATGTCTATATTTGACCTTTAATCCTTTTCTATCCTTTTCTTTTTTCGTTGTTTCTAGTGGCCACCAACCTACTAGCGATGGCCTCCACCCTAGTAGCGATGGCCTAGCACCAAAAAATCAAACCTTTGTCATGGGGCCAGCACTATCTAGTCACCCTCCACCTTGTCTGCTCCAGCACGGTGAAGCAAACAAGAGACTGGGAATCTGCCGATGGGAACTGAAGAGGTGGACCCCTCCAAGAAAGCATATTCAGAAGAACACGTATCAAATGCATTGCAAAGAAATGCTTGACCTTAATCAGCATTGAGTACCTCTCTCTTGGCCCTGGGTTGCTGGGCGCATTCACAAAACGCACGCTTTTCCGCGAACGGCTGCGCCAAGAATTGGGCGCTTGATCTTGCCGCTGCAGGGGGCGGGGTGGTGCGCTGGTGCGTTGCCCCAGCGAAACCAACTGACCATTGTAGCCTCTGTTGGTAACGCCGGGGAGGCCCCGCGGAGCAACTGCTCCGCAGCGCTGGGCAGGTTGTCCTTTACAAACATGGGCTGTCTGAAACCAAAGTCTCAACACCTACTTACCCCATTGTGCTTTGTGCTTGGCGCTTCCCTCTCATCATCTCCGGTTGGCACAAAAGCGAAAGCGAAACAGCTTTGGAGCCACCAGCTAGGACAAGAATTGGACAGAGAATCAAATGCATAGACACATGCGGTGACATTCAAACTCACATCTCTTTCACCCATGCAAACCCACCCAACTTACGCAATCTGCACATTCAAAAATCATGCGGGACTCTAGCAGGCTATCTGTATACAGTTGGTTCAGTAGGTGCTGCCGATGGCAACACGCAATTGTCGAACCCCATGAACACGCTCTCCAGCCCGATCCGTGCGGAAGCGCATCATGCAAGCCTCTTCCCGTCCTATACCATGCATACCTCAGACGGGCAGATAGAGCTGGATTCTTCGGAACCACTTGCTGTAGTAACAAGAACGCTACTAGTAACAAAGGGCATCCCTACTAGCAACAAGGACGCTACTAGGGGCGCTCCTGGCCTCACTACTAGTAACAAGAACTCTCCCTCCCTCCCTCCCTCCCTCCCTCCCTCGCTCTCTCTCTCCCTCCCTCGCTCTCTCTCTCCCTCCCTCGCTCTCTCTCTCCCTCCCTC